GAATTCGATATAAATTTATGTGTATCAGTGTAAAACATATCTAATGTACCTGTTTTTCCAGATTCCAGTCAGCATTTATATGCACTCACACCATATTTCTATCCTTCAATAACTATATTAATCCATAAGTATAACTGACACTACAATTTTGTATCACTCTCTTTAGATTAATCATGCTCTTTTAATATATAATTTAGAGTTTTGTTACTTAAAATAATCATTATATTTTAGGTAGTAATCTTCAGTTTAATTATATTAGACTTACAATTCAGATAATCTAGCTTTAGATTCTCGCTCTAGTCTGCCTGAAATGCTCTGCATAACATCACCTAATTTTGTAACCATTAACTGAAGTTTACCTGGAGAGAGTTCCGGGGGTCAACGCCCCCGCGGCCCGGTCTGTGACCAGGCCTCCATTTAGAAAATAAAATTTGTATCTGAGGTACTGTACAGTATAATGGTAAAATTTTGTTACATTTAGATTATATTTGATCCCCATGAATTACTTAGGTCAATTTACTGTATTTTCATATCCACACAATTACAATGCCCTATTGTGCAGTATTTCCATAACTATGCCAATTATGGAAATATTATAGTTAAAGCCTATTAAAATAACAATGAGAATGTTTTTTATGAATCCTTTACTTTTTTTAAGACAAAATAAAAAAGCAAAATAACAAAAACGACACTACCAAATTTCTGCCACTAATACAATCGGCATTAGCCAATACCCAAAATTAAGCTGATTCCTACTGTATGTCATCAAAATTAGCTAATAACAACTGATACGTAAAGTAAAAGGACACAAGTGCAACTAATGTGACATTTATTGTGGCAATGTTTCGCTCTCCAGGAGCTTTATCAAGGCTTGATAAAGCTCCTGGAGAGCGAAACGTTGCCACAATAAATGTCACATTAGTTGCACTTGTGTCCTTTTACTTTACATATTGTCGGTAATTCTACCAACTTTATTACAACAACTGATACCAATACTTAGCCACACCTCTATTATTAACTTTGAGACTGCATTTGACTAGGTGAAAACATGTGTTAAATTTTATCATTTGTTACTCCAGTTGCTTAAGAACATTCATTAAAACCTGGTTTTAGTCACTTTTATTGCTTATTTTGCATAAAATTTGTGCTACATTCATGAATAAGTTTATCAGTTTCATTTATTTCTTCTAGAAGTCATTTACAGTATATACTAGACAGTTTAAGCTCAGTGGAAGAGTGATCAATTTACTATCTAAAGGGCTTGAGTTCTGCTCCCAGGCAAGAAAAGAATGGGCAAGTCTTCTTACTCTAGCTTGTTCATGTTCACTTAGCAGTAAATTCTGTATTCCATGCATTTGCAGTATACAAATTTGAGAATTTGACAATGTTTTCTTATGTGAAATTACTAAAATTTGCATTTTTTTTACCTTGTTTATTTTCTTTTGGATTTTATAAAAATATACATTAGCCTATTGCTGAAATTTAGCTGGATTTCTAAATCTCTCATCTTCTGAGGAGCACGTTTTATGAATGTCAGTAATAAAATTATAGCAATATTTAAAGATATATGACCTCTGAAACGAAATGAGCCCTAATCTGAAAAAAGTGTTCAGTGACATGACATTCCTATGCTTTGTGGTTTCCAAAATAGACTTTCACAGGACACTATCAGCTGTTTTATTAAATTCTAAACAAATGCAATATGGCCCTTCATTTCTGGGACAAGCATAAGAGCTTAGCAACTATGATAGAATTTTGCTAATTAAAAGCAGGTTTTTGCTCTCCAAATATTTTTTTTAATTATTTTTTTAACAATGCTCATCAGTGACATAGGCCTATATTTAAAAGGTCTTCCTTGTAACCTTTTTAAACTTGGTATATACACAGGCATTTATCTTTCAATGTCTGTACTCATCAAGTTGTGGTTGCAGGGGTCGAGTCATAGCTCCTGGCCCCAATCTGTATATGTGTGCACGTGCACTCACACTGTTAAGTGTTTCCTGTAATTTACTATAAGGATTAAAGCATTCTCAATGTTACTATACATGTGAAATGTAGCTAAAATGACCTACATGTGAAATGTAGCTAAAATGACCCACATGTAGTCAACAGCTGAACCTAACAAGCTAAATAGCCTGTTGAACATCATTGCAAAGTTTATCAATTTACCTTCTTATGAAATCCCCAAAAATATTTATCCTGTAGTGAATAATTTAGTTCTGCACATTCTTTCAAAACCAATGGTGATATTTAAATCTCTGGTCATACTGTTTGCTTTTTCATGACATTATACAGCAATAGTTTCATTACTGCTACAGAGCTTTGGTTACCTCAATTGAGTCCATTCTAAATGACTTTCTGGAAATCAAATTCACTTCCATCTCAAGAAACTAAATATGAATCTCTAAGAGTGTAAATACTCAAGAACTATATATCTGGTATTGTATCTCGAATATCATTTCCCAAGCAGCATTTTTTTTCTTTTTCCTACATTCTCTGTATTTCGTTATCACACTAACATTGCGTTTTACAAGTTTGTGAGATAGCTCACCTCCAGCACATGTTACAAGTTTGTTCTTTTAAAAGATTTTTTTTAGCACCATCCAGTACATTCCAATTCACTTTCTGATATATCTTATATTATATTTTCCCTCTTTAAACTGATGTTAAATAAAATTGTCTTAACTAAATACTGAATGACCTAAACAGAATGATCTGCTCCTCAGGCAGTGAGGCATGTTTCACCGGCATCCAAAACAGTATAACACATACATGTACTTTATATGTACAGTTTCACTACATACCTTACAAGTTTCACAACATAACCTAGTTTCAGTACACAACTTGGCTACATTATAACTTAGTACTGATACACAAAATTACACTTCATAATTGATCATTTATTTCTAAACACAACTTCACCTCTGCAACATAACTTACAACTTTACTACTAAGCTCACTTTAACAACAAAATTCACCTTCTCAAAACAATTTAGTTTCATATCATAGTTTGACAACTTAAGTTTGTTTCACTATACAACAATCTCACTACGTAACTTTAAAGTGACATAGCATCACTTACACCTTCACTGCATTACTCTTACCTTTACTAGTAAGTATATATTGTATATATTATATATATATTATATACATATATATATACATATATAATTATATACATATACATATATAATTTATATATATATATATATATATATATATATATATATATATATATATATATATATATATATATATATATATATATATATATATATATATATATATATATATGGATAATATATATATGGATAATGAGAACCTTCAAAACTAGGGAGGCCAAGCCCATGATGACACTCTTCAGGTCACTTGTTCTATCTAGGCTGGAATATTGCTGCACACTAACAGCCCCTTTCAAGGCAGGTGAAATTGCTGACCTAGAAAATGTACAGAGAACCTTCACAGCGCGCATAACGGAGATAAAACACCTCAATTACTGGGAGCGCTTGAGGTTCCTGAACCTGTATTCCCTGGAACGCAGGCGGGAGAGATACATGATTATATACACCTGGAAAATCCTAGAGGGACTAGTACCGAACTTGCACACGAAAATCACTCACTACGAAAGCAAAAGACTTGGCAGACGATGCAACATCCCCTCAATGAAAAGCAGGGGTGTCACTAGCACGTTAAGAGACCATACAATAAGTGTCAGGGGCCCGAGACTGTTCAACTGCCTCTCAGCATACATAAGGGGGATTACCAACAGACCCCTGGCAGTCTTCAAGCTGGCACTGGACAAGCACCTAAAGTCAGTTCCTGATCAGCCGGGCTGTGGCTCGTACGTTGGTTTGCGTGCAGCCAGCAGTAACAGCCTGGTTGATCAGGCTCTGATCCACCAGGAGGCCTGGTCACAGACTGGGCCGCGGGGGCGTTGACCCCCGGAACTCTCTCCAGGTAAACTCCAGGTATATATATATATATATATATATATATATATATATTATATATATATATATATATATATATATATATATATATATATAATATATATATATATATATATATATATATATATATATATATATATATATATATATATATATATATATATATATATATATATAGCAATATATATAACATACATAAACAATATATATATATATATATATATATATATATATATATATATATATATATATATATATATATATTATATATATATATATATATATATATATATATATATATATATAATAGATAGTATGATGGTTAATTATTCTATTATTCTTTTAAGAAGGAAAATACTGATACAGAAATATGGGTAAATAAAATTTTATTTGAATTTAAAAAAATACAAAGGGCATATACAGTAGTAATTATGAGTGACTTATCTTCTTAATTATTTACTTAAAAGAAGTCAATAAATTACATTAAAAGAGAATCGTGTTTCGAACTGATTAAATATATATAATTATTATACGAATAAAAGTTACATATATGATGACTTAACCTACGATAACCCCTAATATTCCTAGATATTATTTTGGTATTATTGGGAGTTATTATCTGTGGTGTAATACACGGGTAAGTCTTTGGCAAAGTAGAAATAACTGTGAAGTATTTATGTGTAAGTTGGTGCTGAGTAGAGAACATTGTAGCCAGAGAAACAACAGCTGAGCAGAAACCAGCCAAATCCCTACAAATACGTCAATTTCCAAGAGTTTTGGCCCAATTCGGCGCCGAACAGCCATAATTTGGCTCCGGCACAAAAGAGCCGAGGCTGCAGTGTCAAAACGGCAAGTGCAGGTGTCAGGGAGCGGGGTAAAAAAAAGGCAAGAATTGTGGGAGAATAAAATGTTGGTGAGGCAATCACGCTAGCTGCATCTTCTCTCTTGTTTGTTGTTCTCTGTAAAAGCTGCCTTAACGACCACACACACTTCTACACATTTTGTCGCTCAAACACCCACATTTATCCACAAACGAGTGAGCCAACTTACGGTGCGTGTCTTGTAGCATGAACTTGATTCAAATATCACGTCGAATAAATTCGATAAAGGCACTAAAAGATAATTTCAACATATTTCTCCCCACCAACCTGTTCCAAAAACGGGGATGGCGGGAGGTTAATGCGCATGCGCCACCACCCACCAGTGCTGTCACTCGCACTGCAATAATCAACCTTGACTAACTTATTCTGTTATAATATTTACCTGATTATAAACATTTTAACCAATCCGTGAATTATTTATTGTACCTCTCGTGCATAATGGTGGGTAGTGGGGGCACTTTTGGGGAGATGGGGAGCAAAATGGGAGGAATTGTGGGGAGGGGTAGGTTGGTATGAGGTGAGTCGCCGGGAGGAAAGGAGTGACAGGTGGGGAAAAATTCTCCCGCTGATAGAGACAACTTTGTGTGGTGGATTGAAATTCTTGGTCCAGAGACCGCAGACTCTATCCACCCTCACCATGACACCACTTCACCATCCCTCTCTCCTCACGCCCTCTCACGCCCACGCATGAACCCCCCTCACTCACGCCCAACTCCAAAAACAAATTCAATTAGCAGGGGAATAAAAAAAATAGGCGAGATGAGATGTGAAGGAGCGTTCTCAGGGAGGGCAAAATTACGTGCGTTTGTTCACGCCTCTGAAACACGGCGGTGGTGGTGGTGGTAGTTGTGGTGGTGGCGGTGGTGGTGGTGGCGGCGGTGGTGGTGGTAGTTGCGGTGGTGGTGGTTGTGGTGGTGGCGGTGGTGGCGGCGGTGGTGGTGGTAGTTGTGGTGGTTGTGGCGGTGGTGGTGGGTGTTGTGGTGGTGGTTGTTGTGGTGGCGGTGGTGGTGGTTGTTGTGATGGTTGTGGTGGCGGTGGTAGTAGTTGTGGTGGTAGTTGTGGTGGTGGTTGTGGTGGCGGTGGTGGAGGTTGTTGTGGTGGTTGTGGTGGCGGTAGTAGTGGGGTAGTTGTGGTGGTGGGTGTGGTGGCGGTAGTTGTGGCTGTGGTGGCGGTGGTGGTAGTCGTGGTGGTTATGGTGGTGGTTGTGGTGGTGGTGGCGGTGGTCGTGGAGGCGGTGGCCGTGGTGGCGGTAGTGGTGGTGGTTGTTGTGATGGCGGTGGTCGTGGTAGTTGTGGTGGTACTTGTGGTGGTGGTGGTGGTGGCGGCGGTGGTCGCGGTGGTGGTGGTAGTGTGGTGGTGGTTGTGGTGGTGGTAACAGTGGTGGTAGTAGTGGTAGTGGTGGTGGAGTGGTGATGGTGGTAGTAGTGGTGATGTAGTGGTGATGGTGGTAGTCGTGGTGGTGGAGTGGTGATGGTGGTAGTAGTGGTGGTGGAGTGGTGATGGTGGTAGTAGTGGTGATGGTGGTAGTAGTGGTGATGGTGGTAGTAGTGGTGATGGTGGTAGTAGTGGTGGTAGTGGTGATGGTGGTGGTAGTGTTGGTAGTGGTGATGGTGGTAGTAGTGATGGTGGTAGTAGTGGTGGTAGTGGTGATGGTGGTGGTAGTGTTGGTAGTGGTGATGGTGGTAGTAGTGATGGTGGTAGTAGTGGTGGTAGTGGTGATGGTGGTGGTAGTGTTGGTAGTGGTGATGGTGGTAGTAGTGGTGGTAGTGATGGTGGTGGTAGTGGTGATGGTGGTGGTAGTGGTGATGGTGGTAGTAGTGGTGGTAGTAGTGATGGTGGTAGTGGTGATGGTGGTAGTAGTTTTGGTAGTAGTGATGGTGGTAGTAGTGGTGGTGGTAGTAGTAGTGGTGATGGTGGCAGTAGTGGTGGTAGTGGTGATGGTGGTAGTAGTGGTGGTAGTAGTGTTGGTAGTAGTGATGGTGGTAGTGGTGATGGTTGTAGTAATGGTGGTAGTAGTGATGGTGGTAGTAGTGGTGATGGTGGTAGTTAGTGGTGATGGTGGTAGTAGTGGTGGTGGAGTGGTGATGGTGGTAGTAGTGGTGATGGTGGTAGTAGTGGTGATGGTGGTAGTAGTGGTGGTAGTGGTGATGGTGGTGGTAGTGTGGTAGTGGTGATGGTGGTAGTAGTGATGGTGGTAGTAGTGGTGGTAGTGGTGATGGTGGTGGTAGTGTTGGTAGTGGTGATGGTGGTAGTAGTGGTGGTAGTGATGGTGGTGGTAGTGGTGATGGTAGTGGTAGTGGTGATGGTGGTAGTAGTGGTGGTAGTAGTGATGGTGGTAGTGGTGATGGTGGTAGTAGTTTTGGTAGTAGTGATGGTGGTAGTAGTGGTGGTAGTAGTAGTAGTAGTGGTGGTAGTAGTAGTAGTAGTAGTGGTGATGGTGGCAGTAGTGGTGGTAGTGGTGATGGTGGTAGTAGTGGTGGTAGTAGTGTTGGTAGTAGTGATGGTGGTTGTGGTGATGGTTGTAGTAATGGTGGTAGTAGTGATGGTGGTAGTAGTGATGGTGATGAAGGTGGTGATATCTCACATGTTCACTATCACCAAGCACTCACCATGATATACATGCAGTGTATAAGGCTGAAACTCAGCATCAGTGAGTGACTGGCTTTCACAACAGTGACTCACTGTTGATGAGTCTCGCCTCTCACTCACTGAGTAAGTCCATAAGGAAAATTATGTACTCCAACATGGACTTGATGCTGGCAAAGTCCTCCTCCCCAAAGAAGCTAAATAATAATATTAATAATAATATTTAGGGTAAAAGTTTACCACAAGAGGACTACTGCGGCAACAACAAGAACACTCATTGTTCATATTACAAAGACAATACTAGTCTTTATTTGTTCTCTAACGTACGTGCTGAGAGATACGTACCTCTCTTGTATACACATCGACAGATACGCATCTCAGTGTATATACATTGAGATATAAGTGCTTCACTGTATATACATCGAGAGATACATATCTTATTGTCTATGCATCGTGCTAAAAATATTTAACAAGACAGGACTCTCAGTAATGGGTTCAAATTAGAAAAAATTAGATTTAGGAAGGATACAGAAAAGCAGTGGTGTGGTAATAGTGATGTGGATGAGTGGAAGAAACTCCAGAATACCGTCATTGTACTTAATAACATTGTGTGGCTTTCAAAATTGGTTAGACAAGTACGTGAGTGGGTGTGACTTGGACCTACCTAGCACGGGCCAGGAGGCCTAATACAGTGTTCCTTTCTCTTATTCTTAGGTTTTCATATATATATATATATATATATATATATAAATATATATATATATATATATATATATATATATATATATACACTGAGGAATGGGTATATCTCAATGTATATATATACACTGAAGAATGAGTATCTCGCAGGGCAGAGAATGGCCATTATTTATTTTTTTTTTTTTTTGGAGGGAAGGGGGTATTAAAACTAAATCGCAATGTATTCCAGAGAATTGTCTGGGGAAAATCAAGGTTGACTGGTATTAATATGGTGTTGAGTATGCACTCGCACGTTTCCTCCCCAGCGCGAAATTCTCATATCGTTTCCCGTAGATTTTTGCCCCTTCTTTGTATGGTTCCCATAGAGGTCATTGTTTCTTGATTTATATTAAGATGAGGTAAGGGTTGGTCACTCTGCACACAGTCTTACACAATAACACACACATGATTAGGAAATGGTATGGTGATACCGACAAGGTGTGGAAAAAGACATTTATGTACAGTTCAGGACTTTTATTAAAGGAAACGTTTCGCCACGAGTGACTTCTTCAGTCCTAATACAGAGATAACTAAGACAATGCGTATATATAGTGGCTGGAGTCAGGTGAAGTGTAGCGTGGGTAGAGGTGGTGGTAGTAGTAGTAGTAGTAGTAGTAGTAGTAGTAGCAGTAGTAGTAGTAGTAGTAGTAGTAGTAGTAGTAGTAGTAGTAGTAGTAGTAGTAGTAGTAGTAGTAGTAGTAGTAGTAGTAGTAGTAGTAGTGGAACTAAGGAGGTGAGACGGATGGCTACAGAGGGACCTGTTGACATCATGTAACAGCAGTTTCCAGAATGGGTAATATCCTGTTGATTAGCAATTTTGAGATACTGTAACTACCGGACTTTTGCTTTATAGTGTTACTGACAGCAGTTATGGCAGCTTCTATGCATTTTCTCCGTCTTAAGTCGTCTTCATTAATCACTAGTTTAGCCTTACTGAATTTCGTGAGGTGTTCATCATCTTTCCTTATGTGACATTTTATTGTGGCAACGTTTCGCTCTCCAGGAGCTTTATCAAGCCGTTACCGTAAAATGTCACATTAGTTGCACTTGTGTCCTTTTACTTTACATCTTCCCTTATGTTGAACACACGCGTTTTTATGGTCATCATTTCTGCAAGCATTTTTGTGTTCGGTGATCCTAATGTCCAGAGATCTGGCTGTTTCCCCCACATATACTTTGTCCCACCCCCCACATGGTAAAGTGTAAATTCCTGCACGTGCGCCAGAATCATGCTTGGGTTTTTGTATCGGGTTCCTAATAGTAGTTGATGAACTGGTAGATATTTTAGCCAGTTTTCTGTCAAACTTTTTTGAAACGTTAGTGGCAGGCAACATTGCTGACCGGTAAAACGTAACTTGGAGGCTTTTCTTCAACTTGATTGGTGTTGGTCTTGTTGAGGATACGTGTCGCACGTTTCCTGCAGTCATGTATGAAGTGTACGGGAAAGTGTAGTGAACTAAAAGAACTGGTGCAGTACTTGCCAATTTATATATGGAGGACCTAGAATCCAGACGGATCCTCAGTAACATCCCTAGTTCAGTTACATGGATGTGGTACGTTGATGATATTTTGGTCATTGTACCCAAAAATCTAGACGTACGTGGCATCCTCAACACCATCAACACTCTGGAACCTACTATCAAATTTACGCTAGAGGAAGAGAAAGACAACCAATTACCTTTTCTCGATGTTCTCCTACTCACTGGTGAAAACAGACTTTCTTTTAAAGTCTACCGGAAACCTAACTACAAGAACGATCTTCTACATTTCTTCTCTCACCATGACACCAGAACTAAAAGAGAGGTAGTTATTGGCCTCTTTCTGAGAACCTACATAATTTCCAGTCCGCAGTTCCTAGAAGAAGAATGCACATACATCACCAGTTCTTTTAGTTCACTACACTTTCCCCTACACTTCATACATGACTGCAGGAAACGTGCGACACGTATCCTCAACAAGACCAACACCAAGCAAGTTGAAG